TTTGACACCGATGCATTGTTGATATCTTACTATAGTTGCATTGCTAATAGTTTTGCTGCAGAAATGTATTCCTAATGAATTACTGTGGCAGTGCATCACTAATGTTTAATTATAGATGCACAGAAATACACTGCTCATGTTTTACTACAAAAATAAAATGCTAATAGATTACTATAGAAATACAATGAAGTGCATTGTTAATAATTTACTACGGAAATTTATTGAAGAGTATTGTTTTTTTACTACAGAAATACATTGCTAATATTTTACTATAGATACGTTACTAATGTTTCTGCTACATAATTGCAAAGCTAATGATTTTACAACAGAATTTAATGCATATGATATTTTACTATAGAAACGTATTTTTAAGGATTTTAATACAGATACATTGTTAATATTTAATTATAGTAATTAATTATTGATTATTTTATTGAAGTTGCATTGTTAATGCTCCTATTCGAGATTTTATAAATGATTTTACTAAAGTATTGTATGCTTCTACTATAGGAATGCCTTGCTCATTATTTTAACACCTATACGTTGCTAATGTTTTTGTATAAAACTTGATAAATGGGTTCCACAAGAACTCAGTGAAAGTCAAAGAGTTCGACGTTTTGAACTGTATTCGATGCTGCCTTTGGGAAATTCGAGTGATTCATTTATTGATCTACTTTTGATGAGAATTGGATCCTTTATGACAAGCATAAACCATCGGCTCAATAACCTGAATATGATAAAGGACCCAAACACTTTCCGAAAACGTAATTGCCCGAACAGAAGATTATGGTGACTGCCTGGTGGTTCTCCGTTGGTATTATCCATTACGGCTTTCTGGAATCGAAGCAGATCATCGATGTCAAAGGTTATTGCCAGCAACTGGATAAAATTCACATTCAGTGAGGCAAAATGTGACCGGCACTGCTTATTTGACGAGGTCAAATTCTGCTGATGTTTCGTTCACTGAAAACAACTAATAACAGCGGGAAAATGTCAATATGAGCACCGGTAAAAAAATGATTACTGAGACATTAGGTTTATAAGTTCCAGAAATTCATACACAGATGTCCTCAAGGACAGATGGCCCAATGGATAAAGGCGTTGGTTAGATTACCTTAGTGGACGAAATAAAGGGCTCGATTCGAAATTCAAATCACCTAAAGAAGGCCGGGGCGTACAACGGCTGAAACGTTTAAAAACCCTTTTATTGAAGTTCTCATTTTGCCTCTGAACTAGCGATCATCCGGCCGGAAGATGACAGAAAGAAGAAAGCAACATATGATTTTAATATGAAGACTGTCGGCCCCAAGACTACCCCCAGCAAGAAGCGGGTATACAACATATAGTCTAAATTGTTTTTTTGTTTATCTATTTTGTTAACACGTCGACGTTTACATTTTTAACTAGCCAGTGGGCTCGCTCTATCACCCTCATTGAGGAGCAAGCTCCCCGAGGCACGAAAATGACCATGTCTGATCTCTTCGACGTGTAAAACTTAATTCCTGAAATAATTTTCTATCTCTCAAACATTCCCACGCTAGTTTTAAACAATTGAAAAAGGAATTCTTTTGTTTTGTCTACCATCTGACCGTAAAGGTCAAAATAAGGAAGTTAGAGGAAAATAAAATTCCTTAAAAAATAACAGTCTGCTAAACTATTATTTAACATTCCTTACATAACCATAAAAAATTCATTTATGAATTTTATTTCAACTACATTCTCATTAACAATCGAAGATGAGGATAACAGTCCGAATAATGTATATATATATATATATATATATATATATATATATATAAATACATGAATTATTCACAAAAACTAATGCAAAGGTTAATGATTTAAATGGCGAGACATCCATCTCGCAAACAATTCAAATAGTACACAAAAACCTCCAGATCCGTTATGAATGAATTGATCCTTGTTTAAAAATTGTTATTTTTTACAGATCCGTTATATATAATAGATGTTGTTCTTTTTTTCTCTTAGTAATAAGAGGACATCGAAAAATATATGTATTGTATCCGAAATGCTATTGAAAATGAGTTATTGGTTTTGAACGCGCCAAAGCAACGCTGAGTTTTGATTTTAAATTTTTAAAGTTGTTTATTTTTAATGAACAAATTATTTTACTGGTAAATTTTACTGTCAAAGTGGCATGAACTATTTGTTCAATAATTACAGTAATGTCGTCTCAGTTATTTAAATTACAATAAAAAGTTTCCTACAGACATAATGCAAAGGTTAATGATTTAAATGGCGAGACATCCATCTCGGTCAAATATAATCCAGATGTTGTTCTTGTTTTTTCTCTTAGTCTTCAATATAATAGATGTTGTTCTTGTTTTTTTCTTAAATAAGAGGACATCGAAAATATATGTGTATTGTATCCGAAATGCTATTGAAAATGAGTTATTGGTTTTTGAACGCGCCAAAGCAACGCTGAGTTTTGATTTTAAATTTTAAAATTTTTTATAAATTTTATATATATATATATATATATATATATATATATAAATATATATATTTATTTATTAAAAATATGTTGTAGTGGTTCCAATGTCGAAAAGAACGAAAAGTATGTATATTAAAATATATATATATATATATATATATATATATATATATATATATATATATATATATATATATATATACAAACATGATTTATGGTGCCGCAAACGTTTTTCATTGTAATGTGGATGAACGATTTATTGAGAAAAATATTATACTTTGTTTTACATAATTTCTATCCTCTCTCTTTACAAGAGCACGTGTTTCTGGTCTGGTCTCGCCCATATCTTATTCCGTCTTCAGGTGAAAATTTGTGAATATGGAAGTGGAGGATTTTAATGTAAATACATATTATTAAAAATAAAATTAAATTTTCTTCTTGGATGTTCAATGGCGGAGCTTTACAAATTTAGGAATATTCTCGAATACCGCTAAAATTCTCGATGGTCAGAAATTGGCGATTCTCTATTCCGATTTGTGTGTTGGTTACGTTCAATCCTCGAAGACAAAGGCTAGTTTTATTCAATCATCGGACCTGAGCCTGAATTACCTACCAATCAAGATGAACGGAAATCCTCTCGGGGAAACGCCGTGCCTTGAAAGATTGGTAGGCCTCAAAATCACACTCGACATCAATAAGATCCATTGCTAAGGATGCAGGTAAAATGGTTGACTCTCTGTACCGCTTCAATAGGTACCTGACTCCTCCTGTTATCATCTCTATTTATATGAGCCAGATCAGGCCAAAAATGGAATACTGTAGTCATATATGAGTGGGACCTGCATAGATCTCACTCTTCAGCCTTGACAGATTTTAAAAGCATCTCCAAGCTATTGTGGGTGACGAATTATTCTCCACCGTTCAACCTCTCTTCCATAGGCGGGATGTGGCAAGCCTTTCGCTGTTCTATCGTTACTTCTACGGAAAGTGCTCGAACGAACTACATTCCCTGGTGCCGCCGGGGAAAGGCCTCTCAGTAAGAACACGCCACGCCACTTAGTAGCAACCCCCCCACATTCCCTTCGTATTCCATCGGTGAATAGTAGCACCTTTTTCCCCGTGAACCACTGCCCTGTGGAACCGACTCAAAACTGGTGTTTCCCCCGATTACTACAATCTTAACTTGTTCAAGACTAGGGCCAACTATTATCTTGCATTCCTATACACACAAATGCCCTCCAAACATAACCCTCTACCTCGAGTGGCCCCGGGCCTTGGAAAGGGTAAACTTAGCTCTCTCTCTCTCTCTCTCTCTATATATATATATATATATATATATCGGGTGTAACAGCAAAATTGTCCAAATCATACAACAGCATAATTATCCATCCCACAAAATGCATAACATTAAAAAAAAGAAGGCTTTCATCTTCAAAATCCATTCAAGAACCATCAAGAGAACAGTGAATAAGGTTTAAAAAAGAGGGAACGGTAGGGAGGAAAACTAGATCAGGAGAATACTACAAGAAAAAGGATCATCATTTCAACTTAGATCGAAAGTTATCGATTAGAAAAGATCCAACTCAATCCATAAGACGTTTGGCACGTGAGAGAGGGGTTTCTACTATGACAATCCAAAGAGCAGTGAAAAAAGATTTGATAATGAAATCGTACGTGGAACCTGTAAGGCACCGTGTTACACCCGGACAGAAAGTTAGAAGATTAGAGAGGGCGAATACAATGATCCTGGAATAATATATATATATTTGAAGTTTATTTTAATACTTCATTAGCTATGATTAATTCATGATGAACATGTCATTTTCGTTTATGATCGATTTCATCACGATACTTCTCTTAAGCTTAGAGAGTAATTATACATTCTTATTGCTCAAAGTAGAGTCCAATAGCGTTATAAAAACCTCGGAGAATTCCAGTAAGATATCTTTAATCATTTCTAAGAGACAGAGTTTGACAGCTTAATCTAACAATTGAACAATTTTGCACCCGGTATAGTTTCGATCCCGGCTTGAAGCAATCGGATGTCTAGCCACACTGATGAGCTGTGATACAGCGAAACAGTCTTGTATGTGAATGACTGTTTTCGCTTGAGGATGAAACAAGGTTTGTTACTTTAATTCGATTCAATTTTAATAATTATATTCATGGTTTCGGCTCTCGTTTTTGAAACATGAGAACTTTTTGTAGCGAAGGAATCATATTTAAAAAAATAATAATTATATATATATATATATATATATATATATATATATATATATATATATATATATATATATATAAACTTTAATTAATACCGGATTTTTTAGAAGCCTGTAATTAATACCGGATTCTAATTTTAGTTTTTAAAATTAATCCAATTTTTTATTTTAATTTTTATTTGTAATTATCAGATTTTACGTTGGGTATTAATGAGATAATGAGTAGGTTTTGATCAAGTATCCTTCATTTGCAACGCTTTTATCTGCATTTGCTTGTGTACTTTTAAAACTCTTCATCGCATATTGCTTTTGTTTAATCTCCACAGGTAGCGCTGACTGGAAAGCAGGAATTCGAGAGCAAATGCAGCGAGAATTAGAGGAAAAAGTTAGGGCCGTTCTGAAGACGCCGCCGATCGAACGTCTTCAGAGGCTACGAGAACGGAACAAACTTCCGAAGGAGACAACATCGGACGTTCTCCAGTTCAACGATCAGCTGTTGCAGAACTGGAACAAACTGGAGATAGAATGTCATCGACGAAGTCATCGCATGCAGTCGGTCAGTAAGAAACAACGATTGGTCACATCGTTCGTCCGTTCTGCGCCACCTCTCTACCAACCATTTGTCCGAAGTGACCTTTCTGAACTAGGATACCAGAGAATCTACAGTACCGAACATTGTGTTTTCACCCGACCCGACCAGGAACGAGTATACGAAGTGAGAGAATTCGTACACTTGGAAAAGCAAACCTTCTGCAAAGTACAACGTGAGCTTGGATTTTATTGGCCGGATTGTCTTGGACCACTTCTACCGTCTGTTAAGTTTCAGAACGAGGCCATATCATTGGCAGAACCTCTAGCCCAATACTTAAACGGTAAGTAAAGTGTTCTACTTGATTAGCATAAGATTTTGTGGTTAATTACAAAAAAAAAAAGAAAAAAGATTTCCTTAGAAACAATGAAAACAATACTGAACTGTTACATATTATCATTCCTCCTATATGGCAGTGAATGCTGGACAATCTCAACCACAGATGAAGAAGAGACCTGAAGCAATAGAAATGTGGTTCTACAAAGAAAAGAGTCCTGAACTGTTACGTAATATCATTCCTCCTATATGGCAGTGAATGCTGGACAATCTCATCACAGTTGAAGAAGAGACTTGAAGCAATAGAAATGTGGTTCTACAAAGAAAAGAGTCCTGAACTGTTACGTAATATCATTCCTCCTATATGGCAGTGAATGCTGGACAGTCTCATCACAGATGAAGAAGAGTCTTGAAGCAATACAAATGTAGTTCTACAGAAGGATGCTGAGAATAACATGGACGAAGTTTTAGAGACAATCGAAACAAAAGGGATAATTATACTCAACATACGCAAGAGACAGTTGAAATTACTCGAGCACGTAATGTGGAAAGAAGGCTATGAAAATTTGATACTCACAGGACAAGTCGAAAGCAAAAGGGAAGACAACGCATAACCTACTTGGCGTGCTTCAGTGAATGAATAGCGGAGTGGGGTTTAGGAGTGATGGCGAAAAGCCAACATTTATTTATCGCTGCAAAGGACGGGAAGTTGCGGAGAGTTTTGATCGCCAACGCCCTGAAGGGACACGGTATATAGAAAAAGAAGCTAATAAGTTCGCAAATCTGCTTCTAATGTTAATATCTTCGCAAGAAATATGTACAGAGCTTACTATTTTTTCAGTAAACATAATTACGTAATATCTGATGATCTCTCTTTGCGGTTTCATTTATTTAGTGCGTGACGTTGTGAACGCGTTCATAGTTTACGCAGATTTTATTGGTTATAATACAAATGTGATTCCGCTCTTTCTACTCTTTGAATATCATGTCCGTTCAAAAGAAAAGCGATCATGGCTCTCTTCAGCTTCCTCTTTTTAATATCTGTAAAATGTTTATTGCTATGACTGTTTCCTGGAAAGACACTGGAAAGGTTTTCCGTTCCCTTCTCCACAGTTCTACCTTCGGAATACTCTCTTTACAGACTAGTTAACCAAGACTAGAAAGCCCTGGTTACTCTGCTATTACTATTCTTTCTTTCTTTTTCTTTCTTTCTTTCTTTCTTTCTTTCTTTTACTTTAACACATTTCTAGTATTCTTTAATTCTTTCTTTCTATCTCTCTTTCTTTCTTTATTTCTTTCTTTCTTTCTTTCTTTCTTTCTTTATTTTAACACATGTCCAGTATTCTTTCTTTCTTTCTTTTATTTTCCAGTATTCTTTCTTTCTTTCTTTCTTTCTTTCTTTCTTTCTTTTTAACACATTTCCAGTATTCTTTTTTTAAACACATTTCCAGTATTCATTCATTCATTCTTTCTTTCTTTCTTTCTTTCTTTCTTTCTTTCTTTCTGTCTCTGTTTGTTTGTTTGTTTGTTTGTTTGTTTCTTTCTTTCTTTCTTTCTTCGAGGACATTCCCGATAAGGTTACACATCAGCCTCAACCTGAATAAGAACTCAGATCGCTGATTCCACTTTCCGCGCTGATAACCGGTACGCACCCACATATCCAAAACTTTCATATCACGGATTGTTTTTATTTTTATATACAAAAATACTCCTATATAGCTAATTCCTGGTTGGGTTTATACTACAGCTTATAAGTAAACATTGGTCGATTTTATACTGGAGTCTTTTGGTAGACATTAATCTTTATATTTGAGTCTATTGGTAAACATTTTTCGAATTCCTACACGAGTCTGTAAAAATTGGCGGCGTTTATCGTTAAGTCTATAAGTAAGCATTGGTTATGTTCATTCTTGAGTTAACCATTAGTCAGATTGATATTTGAGGCATTTGGTAGACATGGGTCGTGTCTACCGTCAGACATGAGTTGATTTTATACTTGTATGCATAGCTAAATACTGATTCTGTTCATTCTTGAATCTACGGTAATAATTGGTCAAGTTTATATTGAGTCTATAGGTCAACATTGATTGGATTTTATACTTGAATCAATAGGTAGACATTGGCTACATTTATATTTGACTTAGCTAAACATCGGTTGGGTTTATACTAACGGTTATAGGTAAACATTAACCATTTTTATACCTGGTAACGATATTAGTAATATTAGTTGTTTTCTGATAAGGAAACGTTCGGGAAAGGAAACATTCACTGACCAAGCAGCCAATCTACTGTCGGTTGAAATTTATAAAATCATTCTACTGAAATAATTTTTCAGGAAAATAGCTTTCTCAAGTCCATTAACTGTTATTATTCTTTTCTGTTTTGTTGAAGGATTTCTTTCCTAACCTTTGGTTCAAAGTACTGTGGAATGTCACTATCTTTATTACGTCATTATTTTCTCTTTAAGTTACATGTGATATCCATTTTAGTTGTTGCGGCTGTTGAAAGTCCTCAAGTGTCATGGTTTCTGTAATTTGGTACCGTTCTTTGTTTGTCTTTTTTAAAAAATTTGTATCTCCAGTTCACAGGGTTCGAAGAAGCGTGATCGTCGTTAAGACCTAGCGGCTTCATTCGCTGGGAGACATTTTTAATCATTGATATGAGAAAATGGTTGTATACAGCTGACTGTTTAGATATTTCTGAACGAGTTTGACGTCATGAATGACATCCATATAAAAGTCTTGATCTGACGAGTTCTTATGATAATGTTTCGGTTTAGTAGCAACTTGCGGTGCTGGAAGAAAACGACTCCTAGAGCAGCCTATTCTATGTTCAGTTTCCTTATACCCTATTTTTTTTATAACTGATCCATACACCAAGGTATTTGAAGTGTTTAGTATTTATTAATTATTCATTAATTTTTATGATGAATTCAGGATATATGCCTTCACTTCACTGCTTTTATTTCAATTTTTAACATTATAGTTTCTCTTTTGTAAAGGTTTTTTTTTTTTTTAAGTAATACTTTTTGGGACATTTGGTAGAAGGTGTTGATTATTTGTTCAAGATCATTCTTATCCCAACTATGAATGCCTATGTCATCAGTATAGCCCACCTTCATTATAGGTACATTGGCCTCGGGTGGGTAAAAAGGAAGAGTCTTCTGTTAGTATATAGGTAAACATTAGCTGGGTTTATACTTGAGTCTATAGGTAGGCATTGGTTATGTTATAGTTTAGTTTATAGGTAAACCTTACTTGGGTTTACAGTTGATTGTAAGTAAACATTGGTCGTGTTTACAGATGACTCAATAGATAAATACTGGTCGGGTTTATACTTGAGACTGTTCGTAAACATTGGTCGGATTTACACTTGAGTCTATCGGTAAGCATTGGTCAGGTTTGTACTTGAGTCTTTGGTAAACATTGTTCGAATTTACACTTGCCTCTATAAGTAAACTTTAGTTGGTTTCCATTTGACTATAAGTAGATATTGGTAGGGTCCACACTTGACTCTTTAGGTAAACCATAGTTGTGTTTCCACTTGACAATAAGTGAACATTGATCGTGTTTTCAGTTGTCTCTATATATTGGTTAAGTTTATAATTCAGTCTGTTGGTAACCATTAGCCGGGTTTATTTTTTAATTATTTTTTACAGTAAGGTTCATCCTGTACAAGGCCCGAGACCACTCGAGGTAGAGGGTTACGTTAAGGGGTAGTTAATATGGATCCGACAAAGGTCTCCGATTCTTCAATCCGATCCGCTATCAATTACTCTACCGTGCCTCCTATAACTCTACGGCATGCACCTTAATTATAGTGATTTTCAAAGCGTAGCTTAGGTGTGGCACAAGGCCGGATCTGCCTTAATTATATGGATAATTGTGTTTCTCCAGAATTTGCTTTTTTCGTTATTTGCTTACTTATAACCCTGCTCTGTCTTTGCTTGCTCTGTTGGCGAGGTCTATAATAAACAGCTTTATCTATTTCTATCATATTAAAAAGGTGAATTTCCATGAATGTTCTTGGAAGAAAATCAGTACTGATTTTTCCCTGGTCTCCTTCAGATTTTAAAATTTAAAACTGTCCTTCTCATAGACTGGTTGCCAACCAAGGCTAGAGATCTTTGATGTTTATACTGTAGCTGAGAGGCGCGAGAAAACTGATGTAACTAAACTTTGAACTCGGCTTACTGATTCTATTTGCCGTGCTGTTAAACCTTAGTCTCGCCAGACTTCGTGTTAGATATTTCACTTCTGCCTAAAATAAACTTCGAACCTTTATTCTGTGTCATAGAGGCAGAATAGTCCATTGTATATAACCTCCAGACAATGTATCTTGTGATTTCTCGTTGATTGCTCAATTCGTGGGTTGTTTTATTCCGAGTCCCTATCGTTTGAAACGCAAAAAAGATGAACAAATTATCTTGCTCACGTTCTCTCTATCACTCAAAACAAATGGAACACTTACCAAAAGGTTAACATGGCAATAGTAACCATTCGAAAACAATATAAATTTCTGTAGAAATGATCAGATCTTGTTTCCAAATGTAGAATGCTAAAAAGATTCCTACTACGCTACCTACGCTAACAAAAATTTCGAGTCGAAGGAAATGCACAGAAATTAATAAATAAATAAAAAAAAATAAAAAAAAGTGAGCTAAAGATCAAGAGTATAATTAAGATAAAACAGCAGTTCTAAAGAAAAGAACTGGGAAGGGTCGGCCTCCTTCTTCTCTCATTTCCCATAAGACCCCAGTGGCCGATAAATCTGTCAACGAATAGTGACGCATAGTCTGAACTGAGTCAGCATGTAGCGTCATTACACAGATCGTTAACACATAATAAAACATATCGGCCAGTAAATTACACGGGTTTAAAACGTTTTGAAGGCGAGCAAATTTTTGTCAACAAAATGCTCAAAATTAAAAAAAACAAAGAAGCCATTTTGATAAAATTTGAACGAGTGAGTGTGCTTTAAAGACAAAATAGAACGTTTCTTTATTGGGAAGCTCTTCGGAACCGAGCGGTTAAAGTACACGAGATAAGAATATGTTTTCCTCTGTAAAGGGGAACACAAAGGTTCAATTCCTGCCGGAGGGTACACTTTATTTAATAAGTTTTCTCCAGAGATCAAGCCGGTAGACTAAGTATATACTGTTTTTCTAAAACGGAGCCTATACGAAAATACGGGTATCCACTAAAAATAACCCTTGAAGTAATAAAAATAATCGGATTAATATATATATATATATATATACACACACATACACACACACACACACACAATATATATATATATATATATATATATATATATATATAATTCTAATGAATTAATGGATTTTATCTTTTAATCCAACATATATTTTATTTCAAACGTTATATATATATATATATATATATATATATATATATATATATATATATATATATATATACCGTATTTTCCGGCTTACAATATGCTGCGGCATGGAAGACGCAGCCTAATATCAGAAAGAAATTTCTAAGAAAAAAAAAAACAGTCATTCTCATACAACAACACTCTCACCATGCATCCCTCACATACTGGCGGCCCGCATTGTTTACATTAATCACTCGTCCGATTTTGTTTGTATGGTGATGATATACTAGTCAAGAGCAGAAAGGCTCCCACTGCTGCTAGTAAAAAAGATCATGTTTAAACTTGTGGCTCGGTTCAAGGAAGGTTTATAATATTGGAAATACATGTAACAGCTAAGTACTGAGGTTACATCATATAAAAGACTGAATTAAATAGGTAGGTATAACATTATAGTGTAATGACTCAACATACAAATCCACGTCCCTATCAGTCAAATCAATTAGGTGAGCGTACTAGTTTACTTGGAAGACGCACACGTATTTTTCAGGGTATTTCTTAGGAAAAAAATTGCGTCTTGTAAGCCTGAAAATGGTGTGTATATATATATATATATATATATATATATATATATATATATATATATATATATATATTTATGTTTGAATGTATGTATAACGTTTGAAATAATAAAAATATGTTGGATTAAAAAATAAAATCCATTAATTCTTAATTAAATTAAATCAATAAACCAATGTGTTTGTGCGGAAAATGGTTGAAAGCTATGTGGGCCACCAGGAACCTCTTCACATCACTGTCAAAGGGAGAAAAATGGCGCGGTTTTGGCGCGTTACAAGGCACGACAGCCTGTGTAAGACCATCATGCAAGGCACCGTTAAAGGCGGACGAAGGAGAGGACGCCAACGTAAAAACTGGTTGGACAATGTCAAACAACAGACAGGTATGACTATACCAGAATTGTTGATGGCTGTGGTTGATAGACCGTTGTGGATGAGGCGACAGGCTGTTTCATGCTAGACGCAATCGTCAGGCCACGAATGCTATTTTTTTTCT